CCCTCCTTGCCTCTGCTCTCGGCACACCTCTCACGCGTTTCGTAGCCCCATAGGGAGCTCCACCGAAGGCCCCAGTGGGGGTGTCCACATGCGGTTCCCCCACCCAGGGCAGCGTTTCGTGGCCCCATAGGGAGCTCCACCGAAGGCCCCAGTGGGGGTGTCCACATGCGGTTCCCCCACCCAGGGCAGCGTTTCGTGGCCCCATAGGGAGCTCCACCGAAGGCCCCAGTGGGGGTGTCGCATGCGGTTCCCCCACCCAGGGCAGCGTTTCGTGGCCCCATAGGGAGCTCCACCGAAGGCCCCAGTGGGGGTGTTCGCATGCGGTTCCCCCACCCAGGGCAGCGTTTCGTGCCCCATAGGGAGCTCCACCGAAGGCCCCAGTGGGGGTGTTCGCATGCGGTTCCCCCACCCAGGGCAGCGTTTCGTGGCCCCATAGGGAGCTCCACCGAAGGCCCCAGTGGGGGTGTTCGCATGCGGTTCCCCCACCCAGGGCAGCGTTTCGTGCCCCATAGGGAGCTCCACCGAAGGCCCCAGTGGGGGTGTCCACATGCGGTTCCCCCACCCAGGGCAGCGTTTCGTGGCCCCATAGGGAGCTCCACCGAAGGCCCCAGTGGGGGTGTCCACATGCGGTTCCCCCACCCAGGGCAGCGTTTCGTGCCCCATAGGGAGCTCCACCGAAGGCCCCAGTGGGGGTGTCCGCATGCGGTTCCCCCACCCAGGGCAGCGTTTCGTGGCCCCATAGGGAGCTCCACCGAAGGCCCCAGTGGGGGTGTCCACATGCGGTTCCCCCACCCAGGGCAGCGTTTCGTGGCCCCATAGGGAGCTCCACCGAAGGCCCCAGTGGGGGTGTCCACATGCGGTTCCCCCACCCAGGGCAGCGTTTCGTGGCCCCATAGGGAGCTCCACCGAAGGCCCCAGTGGGGGTGTCCACATGCGGTTCCCCCACCCAGGGCAGCGTTTCGTGGCCCCATAGGGAGCTCCACCGAAGGCCCCAGTGGGGGTGTTCGCATGCGGTTCCCCCACCCAGGGCAGCGTTTCGTGGCCCCATAGGGAGCTCCACCGAAGGCCCCAGTGGGGGTGTTCGCATGCGGTTCCCCCACCCAGGGCAGCGTTTCGTAGCCCCATAGGGAGCTCCACCGAAGGCCCCAGTGGGGGTGTTCGCATGCGGTTCCCCCACCCAGGGCAGCGTTTCGTGGCCCCATAGGGAGCTCCACCGAAGGCCCCAGTGGGGGTGTTCGCATGCGGTTCCCCCACCCAGGGCAGCGTTTCGTAGCCCCATAGGGAGCTCCACCGAAGGCCCCAGTGGGGGTGTCCACATGCGGTTCCCCCACCCAGGGCAGCGTTTCGTGGCCCCATAGGGAGCTCCACCGAAGGCCCCAGTGGGGGTGTCCACATGCGGTTCCCCCACCCAGGGCAGCGTTTCGTGGCCCCATAGGGAGCTCCACCGAAGGCCCCAGTGGGGGTGTCCACATGCGGTTCCCCCACCCAGGGCAGCGTTTCGTGGCCCCATAGGGAGCTCCACCGAAGGCCCCAGTGGGGGTGTCCACATGCGGTTCCCCCACCCAGGGCAGCGTTTCGTGGCCCCATAGGGAGCTCCACCGAAGGCCCCAGTGGGGGTGTCCACATGCGGTTCCCCCACCCAGGGCAGCGTTTCGTGGCCCCATAGGGAGCTCCACCGAAGGCCCCAGTGGGGGTGTTCGCATGCGGTTCCCCCACCCAGGGCAGCGTTTCGTAGCCCCATAGGGAGCTCCACCGAAGGCCCCAGTGGGGGTGTTCGCATGCGGTTCCCCCACCCAGGGCAGCGTTTCGTGGCCCCATAGGGAGCTCCACCGAAGGCCCCAGTGGGGGTGTTCGCATGCGGTTCCCCCACCCAGGGCAGCGTTTCGTAGCCCCATAGGGAGCTCCACCGAAGGCCCCAGTGGGGGTGTTCGCATGCGGTTCCCCCACCCAGGGCAGCGTTTCGTGGCCCCATAGGGAGCTCCACCGAAGGCCCCAGTGGGGGTGTTCGCATGCGGTTCCCCCACCCAGGGCAGCGTTTCGTGGCCCCATAGGGAGCTCCACCGAAGGCCCCAGTGGGTTCGCATGCGGTTCCCCCACCCAGGGCAATAGGGAGTTCGCATGCGCACCCAGGGCAGCGTTTCGTTAGGGAGCTCCACCGAAGGCCCCAGTGGGGTTCGCATGCGGTTCCCCCACCCAGGGCAGCGTTTCGTAGCCCCATAGGGAGCTCCACCGAAGGCCCCAGTGGGGGTGTTCGCATGCGGTTCCCCCACCCAGGGCAGCGTTTCGTGGCCCCATAGGGAGCTCCACCGAAGGCCCCAGTGGGGGTGTTCGCATGCGGTTCCCCCACCCAGGGCAGCGTTTCGTGGCCCCATAGGGAGCTCCACCGAGGCCCCAGTGGCTGCCCTCGCATGCGGTTCCCCCACCCAGGGCAGCGCTTCGTGGCCCCATGGGGAGCTCCACCGAAAGCCCCCGTGGCGCAGTTCGCATGCGCTTCCCCCACCCAGGGCAGCGTTTCGTGGCACCATAGGGAGCTCCACCGAAGGCCCCAGTGGCGCAGTTCGCATGCGGTTCCCCCACCCAGGGCAGCGTTTCGTAGCCCCATAGGGAGCTCCACCGAAGGCCCGCCCCGGTGGCGCAGTCCGCATGCGGTTCCCCCTATCCAAGGCAGCGCTTCGTGGCCCCATATGGAGCCCCACCGAAAGCGGCACCCGCAACGCGTTACCAACAATTGCTTATGGTTGGGTCTTTCGCCAGGATAATTTTTCAAGCTCAGCTTGGGGAGGGAGCTTGTTGAGTATCGGGTGTTGTGTTGGAGAAAGAGGCTGTTGAGTACTGGGTGTTGTGTTGGAGACGGAGGGAGTTGAGTAGAAAGTTCTTTTGAAGTTCAGCTTGGGGAGGGGGCCTGTTGAGTATCGGATGTTGTGTTGGAGAAGGAGGCTGTTGAGTACTGGGTGTTGTGTTGGACACGGAGGGAGTTGAGTAGAAGGGAGCTCAACAAGTCTTCCAAACAAGAGCCTTAAAAGTGAGTCCGAACATCGTAGGAAACATATACAAATTCATATATAATCATGAGAAAAGGGGGGTTCTTGGTGCAGCTTGGGGAGGGGGCCTGTTGAGTATCGGGTGTTGTGTTGGAGAAGGAGGCTGTTGAGTACTTGGTGTTGTGTTGGAGACGGAGGGAGTTGAGTAGAAGGTTCTTTTCAAGTTCAGCTTGGGGGGGAGCCTGTTGAGTATCGGGTGTTGTGTTGGAGAAGGAGGCTGTTGAGTACTGGGTGTTGTGTTGGAGACGGAGGGAGTTGAGTAGAAGGTTCTTTTCAAGTTCAGCTTGGGGAGGGAGCCTGTTGAGTATCGGGTGTTGTGTTGGAGAAGGAGGCTGTTGAGTACTGGGTGGTTGTGTTGGAGACGGAGGGAGTTGAGTAGAAGGTTCTTTTCAAGTTCAGCTTGGGGAGGGAGCCTGTTGAGTATCGGGTGTTATGTTGGAGAAGGAGGCTGTTGAGTAATGGGTGTTGTGTTGGAGACGGAGGGAGTTGAGTAGAAGGGAGCCCAAAAAGTCTTCCAAAACAGAGCCTCAAAATTGAGTCCGAAAATCGTAGGAAACATATATAACATCATATACAATCATGAGAAAGGGGGTTCTTGGTGGGTGCACAGGGCTACATATACATATCAAAACACAAATGTTATCCATCAGAACCCATCAAATTATAGACACACGCATCCCCGTTACTGATCTAACCCCCCCTGATCTAAACCCCCGCGGGGTTTTCTCGACTGGGGCAGCGCCCCGTTGACCCCAGCGTGCATCGCAGACTCCAGGGCCCTCGGTCGACGCCTGGCTCGCGCGCGCGGAGAGGGGGGGCCCCGGATCCACCTGAGCTCTCGAGCGACAGCAGGCCAGAAACGCACTGCCTTACATTCGTGAGCTTCAGCGAAACTGTAGCGTGCATCAACGATGGACAAGGTTTCGCGGCGCATGAGACTAGCTCGGGTGAAATGACCGATCAGCTTTCGATTCTTACCGCCGCCAGCCTTCCCCGTGCCCAAGGCAAAATCGACGGCGAGACGCAGCTGTCACATCCGCTGAGAACTGATTATGATTGCGCGTCTCTCCCCGTCAAACAATAGCCCAGTGAACTCGCTGGCGGGCTCGGCTTCCGAGGCCTCGCGACAGCCGAGACCCGCGCCTTCGATGGTCTGGCGGGCCTTGAGGTGCGATGGGGGGGCCTCTTGAGGATCGAAATAAACGACGGCAAATCCATGCATTCGTAAGCAGCGCGCTTAAAGGAGGTGTTACCAAGCATCTCGCAAACCCCCCGACCGGAGACCTCGCCCATGCCTTCCAGACCAATAGCTGTCATGCCAGAGGAGACGGCGGCCTGGCAGAAGAAAAGCGCCCAGCGCCAGCCCGTTGGATGGGCGTGGAGGAGAAGCGAGCAAGCGGGGCCCATGCGGGCGCGCTCCTTATGCCAGAGGCCTGGAATTGACGTTTTAACTTCGGGCAGCACAAGTAGCTCGCTCATCCTGTCCCCAATGCGATTCCATGCAAAATGCGGCAATGACATCGCGCCGAGCAGCGTGGTGCGGCTACTCCTCGTCGACCTCGACGCGGCCCCAGGAACTGCTGGTCGTCGCGCGGTTTTGGCGGGGGGGGCGAAAATGTGAATTCTCAGCGCGGGCGTCGAACATCGCGCAAAGCGAAGCGTCTTGTGCGCGGGCGAAAAAGACACCCGCTGCGGCCGGGCGACTGGCGGAGAAACCCGCGACGCCCCTTGCGCGCAGGTCGCCGCGAAACTCGCTAGGCATAGCAGGCCGACTTATGGGCGCAGGGTCGGAGTAGAGAAGCAGGCAAGCCCGTCGTCGGAGGCGGCCGCGCAGCCCTCCTCACGAAAGGAAGGCCCGCGGCCTCGGCGTCGCGCGGGCGCCGCAAAGCTCCCGGAAGGCTCCCGCGGCGTCGCCCAGATCGGCAGGCGGGGGGCCGACGGGCCGGCGCGACGACTCCTTCAGCTCCCCGCGGCGCGATGGGTGCCCCGCGGGTCAGACGGCGGAGGGCGGGGCGGCAGCTCCCCCGGGGGCCGCTCGCCCCGCAAGCGCCTCGCGGCGAGGCGCCTCTGCGAGGCGGGGCCGCGGTCAGGCGTGGCGGCAATTTCGGCCAGGCCTCGCCGCTGGCGAAGCGAACTCGTTCTTTTCGTCCTTGTGAGCCTTGCGCCCTTCAAAGGCTGTCTGTCGCTCCCTCGCGGCCAGGCGCTCGTTCGCTGGCTCCATGCCCGCCCCGGTCTTCAGCCCGGGCGACGCGCAGAGCATGCCGCGCGCGGCCGAGCGGCCGAAGTGCAAGTGGGCCTCGTCGAAGGGATCGCTGACGACGGCCCCCTCGGGCCCCCCCTGCTCCCGACCCGTGAACTTCCCCTCGCGGTTCAGCTCGTTGAGCTGCGCCCGCCAGCGGGCGAGCGCCGCCCGGGCCAGCCGGGGCGGGCCCGGCCAATCGTGCGCCGCGCCGAAATGCAGCGTCTTCATCGCCGCGGCGTGCTCGCCCACTCTCGCGTCCGTCGCCTACAGCTTGCCGCCCGCCAGGAAGCGCCCGCGCCGCTGCTCCGGCGCCTGGAAATGCTCGGCGAGGAAGCAGAGCGGTCCTCCCACGAGAACTTCAGGATGGCCCCCGCCGCCGCGCGGAATCCGCGATGGCGGACCCCGTGCGCTGTTCTGCTGATGACCAGCATGCCCGCGTCGCCGTCGCCTCTTCGCTGGGCCCGCCTTCGCCTGCCCCCCGCCTCGCCAATCTCGAAATCACGTCGCCTTGCTTCATCTTCGAGACGCCGCTCTCCACGGGCGCGTCGTTCATGCGGTCGTCCATCTCTTGGCTGCGAAGCTTGCCCAGCTGCTCCATCAACCAGGCGTTGCTGTCCGCCTTGGGGCGCGGGGGCCACGCCCGGCCAGCGCCCGGCCAGCCGCGCCTCGACATCCGCCTCGCTGCTGGCCGCGTCGCCGCCCGCCGCGGGCTTCGCCGCGGGCGCGCCCGGGGCCTGCCGCAACTCGGCGCCGCGCTCGTCCGCGCGGGAAGTCCAGGCGCGCGAGATCGACCCAGTCCACGCGCGTCGCCGCGCCTTCCGCCATGGCCAGGCCCTGCGTCCCCGCGCGCACCGTCGGAGTGGGCATCTCCGCCCCGAGCGAGAAACCCCGGCTCGGGTCGGCCAGGCGCCCGCCTCCGCACGGGGCAGGAGGGGCGCGAGGGCGGAGCTGGGGGCGGGTGGCCTAGGCAGGCTGGCGGGCTCGCCCGGCGGGGCGCCCGTGCCGCCGATGCCCTCGCCATCGTCGACGCCGGTTAAAAGCTCGCCCCCAGCGATCTGCAGCGCCTGCCTCCCCCGCGGCCGTCTCGCAGGGCCAGGGCGCGACGCGGCAGCAGGCGTGGGCGCGCGACATCATACTCGGCAACGTCACCCGCTGGCATCATCACCCCAGCGCGGCAGGCCTCGCCCCTGGCGATCAGCACAGGCACCATCGACAGAAGGATGTCGCCGTTCCTCGCCCACCCGTTACAGAAGAGGCACGCGGCGCTTTCGCTGCCCCCACTGGGGAGCTCCCGCGAGGCCGCGAAGAACTTCACGCGCTGGAAGGTCTCCATGTCCGTGAAGATCTCATCGCGCACGTCGCTGTCGGGCGTGGCGACCACTCAGTGGCCGCGCGAGGGCGACGCCAGCGCGCGCAGGAACCGCTCATGGAAATGCCCGTCGCCGAAGGACTTCACCAGCGCCCTGTCGCCGGCTCGCAGCCACTCAAGCACGGCCCGCTCAAGCGGCATGGCTCCTCAGCCGTTCCTGCGCAGCCTGGCGCGCCGCCCAGCCCTCGCCTGGCTCTTCGCTGTCCTTGGCCGCTGAGCAGTCCGAGGGGGTCTCAGCCACTAGGGCCACCCCGCGGCCCTTGCTCGCCATGGAGAGCAGGCGGTTTCAACGAGCGACCGCCCCGCCAGCAGCCAACCCGCAGAAGGCGTCGACTGCCAGCTGCCAGGGCCAAGGCCCCCACGGCCCTTGAAATGCCCGCAGGGCATTCGCACTTCGCGCGCGTCACAACGGGGCAGGAGAGCTGGGGCGTCACGCGCGCCCGCTCACGGCAGGGCGCCTGCTTCGGGTATGCGAAAGAAAGGCAGGCAGGGCACTGGTCCCGCGTCTGCGCCAGGACCACGGCAGCTGGCGGGGGGATATCGCGCGCGATATGCAGGATGTCGCGGTGCTGTTTATCCAAAGCGAGCCACTTGGACCCGAATATCACCAGCGGTACAACGCTGGCGGAGGGCCATAACGCTGGTTCTGGATGCGCGTTCACAGAGTTTCAAACCTTGAGCGATCGGCCATGTTCACAACGGCCGATCGTGCAACATCGAGTGGTCCTCTGCCGGTGGCGTTCAACGTTGAACACCTGGCAGCGGGGTCGCTGCCTGTCGACACGACGTTGACCTACCATAGGATGGGGGGCGGCTTTGGCCTTCTGGAGCAATCGGTACCAATGGAAAATATTTGGAACGGATTGAACACGCAGACGAAATCAATGTCAAAGGTTCCGTTTCCCATTGGGGTCGGCCGGGGATTGACCGCGGGCGACCTCGTTACCTCCGCGGGCGCGAAGGTCGTGCTGTGTTTTGATAATTCTCTAAAGCCCCAACCTGACGCCCCTGTAGGACCGCCTCCCTCGTCGAGCGCAGTCCTGCGTGTCCGCGCGCTGACTCGTAAAAAGAACGGAACACGTCGTGAGGGGGCTGGGCCGCTAGCGCTCTGCGCGGGCTTCAGTGTGTGTGTGTGGGGCATGCGCGAAGTCCTCCACTTCTTCCAGGCCGCATGGGACACTGCGCGAGAGCATCGCCGCGATGTGTCTGTAGCTAGGGTTCCCCAAAGCTAGAACATGCCAGCAAAAATGTGTGGGGGCAGCTTGAAGCTGGGCCCCCCCTTCGTGTAAGGAGCTACCGACGGGCTTCGCCTCAAGGCCCCCTTCGCGCGGTCGCTTTTCCAAGCGACGTCGCCTCCATCGAGCGACGTTGCATCGAACGGCGCGAGAAAGCCATTCCTGGTTAGTGGCGCGCCAAGCGACCGCAGCTCACATCCACGTTCGCGCTCAGGCCGATTTGGACTCGTAGCCCGTGCCAAACCACTGGGAACCGCCATTGCGACTGCCACTCTGCCTGGAAGACTTCGTAGCTCCATGGCCTCCCAAGGCGAAAGTTCGCGCCGTCCCTGTGGGAAGCACTCTTGCAAGTCCCGAACAACATCCCCCCACCTCAATTGGAAACCCCCTCCCTTACATGCAAAGAATGGGGCAGGGGTGGAGGGGGAGAGGTCAAACGGGAGGATGGGCGGAAGGCGGGGGGGAAAAAGGAAAGGTAGCCTGGGCTCCTCGACTCACGGCGCGCAACCGCCGAGGGTACGGCTCCCACTCACCGAGCGGTCCTGTGTGCACCTCCAGCCCTAACTGGCGTCCACTCCCGCCACCCGATAGCCGCTTGGCCGCGCCGCGATTGCTCCCCAGCACCACCAAACAAAGCTTGCCTCCCTGCTCGAAACATCACTACCTCCCGAGACTGCTGCTTACTCCTGTTCTTACCCTCGGCCCCTTGCAGAGATGGGGTGGGGCTTATAAGCGTGCTGATGCTGATGATGCTCATGCTCCCCTGTTCCCTTCATATTCATTTCTTGATCCTCCTCCTCCTCTTTCCGTCGTCCCTCCTCCTCCTCCTTCCGCCCTACACTCCACAGTGCAACGACGTAGTGCGCACATAATGACTTAATATAGTATGGATGGAGCCTGCGATTCCAATCCTCTGCACTTCCGCTGCGCTCACATACGCGAATGTGGCCAATTCAGGGAGCCCTGATCCCAAACACCGTGGCACATCTTGGGGGATCAACTTTGCTGCCGACGGCACAAACATACTTGCTTCTGCTGGCTTCGGCCCTCCTTCCACCAGATTGCGCCAGAGAAGAAACACAAGCTGTTCGACCCTGCGAAGTGAAAGCCTCTTTTGGAACTCCCGCAGGCTTCCGCAAACCTTCCGCCAACGGAGTCCGCCATCGGAACCACCCCCGTTTGACTTCCGCTGGCCTTCCGCCGAGCAAGAGAAGGCAACCTCTCGATCCCTCGAAGGCGGTGCCTTTTCTGGAACGCCCCATTTGGTTTTTCGGATCTCGTGCAACTTGATGCCAAGTATATCACCCTTCAACCGCGCACCGCCGCCGATGCTCTGCGCGGCCTTAGCTTTTTCTCGGGCATGCTAAAGCCCCCCCCGCTTGCTGACCACCAGGGCAAATTCACGTCAAGCCCTGAAAGCCTCGGCGAAAAACAATATCTGCGGCTTCCCGGGCGTCGCCGCGCTGCGCTTCTGGTCGCCGCCACGGGGATGTTCCACATCGGCGTCTACAATCTCGACCTCAATGGAAAAGAGCAAGGGACATGCGTGAACATTTCCCAGAATTACCCTGGCGAGAAGTCCAATCATGTGCAGGTGTGAGCACCGCTGTTGTGAGAACCGCCTTCGGTGGAGCTCCCTGCGGGGCCACGAAATTCGTGAAGGGAGCGCCGAAATGGGGCGGGGCCGCCATGCGGGCGCTGCCATTGGGGCCGCCCGCAAGGGGCGCAGAGGTCAGACGAAACGCGTTCCATGCTGATGTAACCCGTTGCGGCTGACAGGCGCCAGCAAAAGCGGGAGAATACATGCGGGCGCAGCCACATGGGGTTTAGGTGCAGCTCCCCATGGGACCACGAAGCGTGTGAAGGGTGTTCTACAGTGAGGGGGGTAGCGGCATGCCAACGCAGCCACTGGGGCCTTTGGTGGAGTTCTCATATGGGGCCGCGGAGCGTGTAAGGGGTGTGCCAAAGTACGGGGGGGGGGGGCGGCATGATGGCGCAGCTGCTTGGGCCTTCGGTGTGTACCAAAGTGAAGGGGGTGGCGGCATGCGGGCGCAGCTGCTGGGGCCTTCGGTGGAGCTCCCTATGGGGCCACGAAGCGTGCGATGGGGTGTGCCAAAGTAGACGGGTGGCGCCATGCGGGCGCAGCCACATGGGCCTTCGGTGGAGCTCCCTATGGGACCAGTTAGGAGGGCAGCGGCATGCGGGCGCAGCCACTTGGGTCTTCGGTGGAGCTCCCTATGGGGCCACGAAACGTGTGAGGGGTGTACCAAAGTGAGGGGGGGTGGCGGCATGCGAATGCAGCCACTGGGGCCTTCGGTGGAGCTCTCTATAGGGTCACGATGACTGTGAGGGGTGCGCCAAACCGAACAGGGGGTGGCGGCATGCGGGCGCAGCCACCTGTGCCTTCGGTGGGGCTACTTATGGGGCAACGAAACGTGTGAGGGGTGTGCCAAAGTGAAGGGGGTGGCGTCATGCGGGCGCAGCCACTGGGGCCTTCGGTGGAGCTCCCTGTGGGGCCATGAAACGTGTGGGGTGGCGGCATGCGGGCGCAGCTGCTGGAGCCTTCGGTAGAGCTCCCTGTGGGGCCACGAAGCGTGTGACAAGTAGGCCACATTGAAAGGGATGGCGGCATGCGGGCGCAGCTGCTGGGGCCTTCGGTGGGGCTCCCTTTGGGGCCACGAAGCGTGTGAGGTGTGTGCCAACGTGAAGGGGGTGGCGGCATGCGGGCGCAGCCACTTGGGCCTTCGGTGGAGCTCCCTATGGGGCCATGAAACGTGTGAGGGGCGTGCCGACGTGGAGGGGGTGGCGGCATGCGGGCGCAGCCACTTGGGCCTTCGGTGGAGCTCCCTATGGGGCCACGAAGCGTGCGAAGGGTGTGCCAAAGTGAGGGGGGTGACGGGAGGAGGGAGAAGCGGGAGGAGGAGAGGAGGAGGAAACGCGGGGACTGTCTCTTGAAAACGGGGACCCAACACCACAAGATGGTTAGAACAACTGTACTGACACTGTCACTTGTAATCCGGAGGGTGAGGAGGAGCAGTCAAGATGGGGAGGAGGAATACGATCACCATGATTCTAACTTGGCGAACAAGGCAAGTATCTCCATCTTCCAGCCCGAGCGGTCAGAGTAGAGCTGATTGAACATCTCGGCCAACGCATGCCCAAGAGGCCTGCGCTCGCGCCGCTCGCTCTTGGCCGCCGCTCGCGAGGCAGTGTTCGCTGACGAAGTTCATGTGCTACTTCGCACAAGGCCCTAGGAATTGCCCAACAGTTCATCGCTGGGCCAATCCATTGCGACGATCCACCACAATGCACCGCGGCAGACTAAGGCTCATACTCATAGCGCTTCAAAACTAAGCGCTCCCTGATCAATGCAACTCGCCTTGAGATCAGTTCTGGATGGGTTGGTTGGGACACGCCCTAAGGAAGCGGCAGGAGGCTCCAAAGAGGCCCCGAGAGACCCCCAAGCGGCCCCCAAGACGCCCCCAGAGGCCTAAAAGCTGCTCCCAAGATGCCTCCAAACGGCCCCCAAGAGCCCCCCCCCGCGACATCCCAACGAACATCCTAAAGGCCTACGACCCACAACCCAGGCCCGGTGGCGGGATGGGCCGAAAGCCATTATCCGTCGCCCCCTGTTGATCCATCACGGGGGTGCCTGGCATGCTAGACCTTACTTGTGGTTTTTGGATTCTGTTTCTAAAAGCGCTCTCCCCTGTGCCTCCAGTCTGTGCCGCTGGCCTCACAGAAAAGGTGGTTGCCGTGCCTCCCCAACGGCTGTCTCGCTAGGGGCATCCTCAACAATCTTGGGGTCCAGATGGCCAAATATTGCCTCCAGCACGGCCCAATAGGGTCCAAGATGGCTCCGAGTTCGCCCAAGAAGCATCCAAAATGGCCCCAAGACGGCCCAAGATGCCCCCAAGAGGCGTCCAAGACGGCCCAGGAGGCCTTCAAGAGGTCGTCCAGTAGGGCCCGCATAGGTCCAATTCATAGATTTGCCTTGGGTTTTCTATGGATTTTGATATTTGCTTCTTTTCGGCCTGGCGACAGCCCAAGACGGCCCAAGAGGCGCCCAAGATCGCCTCAAGATCGCCCCAAGGTGGCCCCAAAGGCCTCCAAGATGGCCCCAGGACGGCCCCAAGAGGGCCCAAGACGGCACCAAGAGGGCCCCTAGATGGCCTCTAAGACGCCCAAGATGGCCTCCGAGAAGGCCCTGAAACGCCACAAAAGGACCCCAAGTTGGTTCAAATAGGCATCCAAGACGGCTTCCGACTGGCCAGGAAGGCCCGAAGACTGCCAAAGCGGCCCCGAACAAGCCCCCAGAGGCTCCCAAGAGGCCCAAGGAGTCCCCAGAGGCCTCCAAGAGGCCCCAGGGAAGCTCCCAGGAGATCGCAAGTGTGCCCCGAGAGGCTTCCAAGAGGCGTCTTCCTTCTTCTTTTCCTCTTCCTCCTCTTCCTCCCCCCCTCCTCATGCTCCCTTTTCCTTCTTCTCATCATTCTCCTTTTCTTAACGTGCTCCCCGACAGGTTTCAACAACAACTGGGGGAACACATGGCCCGCCAGCTCTACCCCAACTTCCAGCCACATAGGCGCTTCCAAAAAATGCAACGGGCGGCGGTGATTCGCCGTGGGCGTCTTCAATTTTCCGCCGCCCCCTTTGGGCTTGCCACACGGATGCCCGGTGCGCTTTTCACAAAAAAACTCTTCCCTGGGGCTTCGGCCCGTCCCGCCGGTCACCCAGAAGGGACTGCAAACAACCCCAACGTCTGGAACAAATCCCCCAAGACGGCTCAACATGGCCTCCAATAGGGCAAGGCCTCCACGACGTCCCAAGAGGTTCCCAGACCTCCAAGCCTCCCCAAGAAGCCGCTAAGACAGGCCAAGACGGCGCAAGAGGCCCCCAAGACGGCCCAAGAGGCCTCCAAGACGGCCCACGAAACCTCGCAGAGGTCCTCCAGGAAGGCCCGAAGAAGCCCAAATCATTGATTGTTCTTGAATGCTTGACGGATTTCGGCGTTTGCTTTTTTTCGGCCTCCCGGCGGCCCGAGACGGCCCAAGAGCACCCCTAGACCCAGAGAGGCCCCCCAAACGGCTTCCGACGGCGTCAGACGGGCTAGGAAGCCATCAGAACGGCCCAATTTGGCGCCAAGATGGACCACAACGGCCCACGAGGCCCTCAAGAGGCCTCCGAGACAACCCAAGAGGCCTCCAAGACGGCCCACGAAACCTCGCAGAGGTCCTCCAAGAAGGCCTGGAGAGGCACAAATTATTGATTGCTTCCCCATATCCTAATATGGGGTTCTTGTTATTCCCCGCATGTTTCGTGGGGTTATGGTTTTCTTCCCTGCCGCGTCGCACCCGCGTCTCACACCCGCGCTTCCCTCGTACCTCCTTCGCACCTCCTTCACACCCTCGCACCTACACAGGCACACCGACACAGACACATACACACAGACACACAGACACACTTTTGACCTGCAGGGCGAAAGCGAACCTCTCCCGCTGAAAGCTAAGCGGGACGCGCACAACTTCAATTGGCAGAGAAAGGGCGGAAGAAAGCGGGGCCTCACGCGGCCAGGAACGGGCGAAACCCAGGGATCAGGCGGTGCCGAAGTGGACGTGCAGGAAAAGGTACACCTTGGACAGGAGCCCGGTGGTGAAGTCCCGGGAGGAAGACAGCCGGTGGTGCAGCCGTCAGCGGCGCTTCGAGAACACCAGCCTCGCAAACTGCGGGAGAGGACGCGCCGCTTGACCAGGTCGACGTCCGAGAGGAAGAAGAGCACCACGGAGTTGAAGTGCAACGTTGTGCCACCAAAGTGATGTCAGGAGCACCAGTCGTGGTAGTACTCCACGGACTTGGGGGCCCGCAGCCTGAGGCGCGGCAGCCGAGCGAACCGTGAACTTGCCGCCGATGACCGACAGGATGCCGGTGCGTTGCAGGGAGAAAGTCTGCCCTGCGCCGGCAAGCGCGCGAGGGCGGGCGGAAACCACGCGCGACGCGCTGCCGATCCGCAATGTCAAGGGCCGGGCCTGAGCCGCGCAGCGCCAAGATCAGCGGGGCCGCCGAGGCGGCAAGGAGCATGCACCCGGCGCCGGACCGGAGCCGCGCAGTGCCGGGCGCTGTCGCCATGGGGGTGGGGGGGTAGCGAGCGGGGGGGGGGGAGAAGCGGGCAGGAAGGAGAGAGGCCAGCCCAGCGAGCCAGCCCCCGCGCCGGAGGGAGGAGGAGGAGGAGGAGGAGGAGGAGGAGGAGGAGGAGGAGGAGGAGGAGGAGGCGGAGGAGGAGGAGGAGGAGGAGGAGGAGGAGGAGGTGGAGGAGGAGGAGGAGGAGGAGGAGGAGGCGGACGCCGCCCTGCCGAGCAGGGAGTCCGGGCGGTCTGGATCAGGTAGGCCCAGTGGATCAGGGGGACCAGGGGGACTAGCGGTCCCAAATCCAAGTGGAAAGCGGAGGGAAGACGGGGGGCGGTAGCCCATTCCCTGCGCCCGTATTGGACGGCCGAGCCCGTGGGCTTCCGGGCTTCTGCGGAC